AATACCATCAATAAATCTGAATATGACATAATTATAAACATAGGGTCAATTGCTTAATTAATTACTGCAGAGCCCATTGGGAGCTTTTGTTTTGAAAAGCCATAAACCGGAAACGGGAGCCGCTAATAATCCAATCCAGCTTGACGACGGTGGCTCAGGAAGACAACGTGGCTGGCGGGGTCCCAATACACTTCCAGGCATTATTTCATAGGTCCATAAACGGCCGCTCTATCATCACCACTGCATAAATCAAGCTGCCTTTCTTGTTTTTTTACACCCCCGGCGTCCATTCGGCTACAGAGGAGAAGCTCGCCAGCGGACTCCCAACCTCACAAATACGTGCGAACATGTCAAAGTATTAGAAATGTGTTGCAGCGCTCGTCCGTCGCCATTTATATATGATTTTCACGTTAGCAAAAGCAAGAGGTGTAACCGCGGCGGTGCAGGGGCGGGCTGAGTCGCTCCTAGCAGTGCACAGGGCGTGTAAGGAAGTTCTTACCAAGCAGAGGAGAACAACAGGCTCCACGGCGGCACCGAGAGGATTTAGCGTTTGCAAAATGCCCGGAAAGAAAGTCTGCATCGTTGGTTCTGGAAACTGGTAACTTTGCATTTGGTGTTTCTTTTTGATTGCCTGCTTCACAAACAGCAGCTGGCTCATTGTTGCAGGGAGCGTTGATGTGGATGCAGGGCTAGCAAACCTCCTGTGCTCATAATGTAGTGTAGCTTGGTTTTTATTTTACTTACAGCATGAGGGAAAAAAAGGGGAACTAATGCAGCTGCTGTGTGAGGAACAAGATGCAACATGAGCATGCTCATTTTTCCCACCTTAGATTGGAATGAAAGTCTTCATGAGTCATAAAGGCTGCATTTAATCCCCTCTGTTACCACGGTTACAAGCTTTTATTTACACTATACCTGTGTTTTCTATGGGATCCACTCCTCTGCTTCAGTATTCTCCACGCAAGACCACATCTAACGCTTGGCTTCTCCTCTTCCTCGCTGCCTCCAGGGGTTCCTCGATTGCCAAAATCGTCGGACACAATGTCAAGGGATCCAACCGCTTCGACCCGATGGTCAACATGTGGGTCTACGAAGAGATGATCAACGGCAGGAAGCTCACCGAGATCATCAACACGGAGCACGAGAACGTCAAGTATCTGCCGGGCCACAAGCTGCCCAAGAACGTGGTGGGTGCTCCCAAGTCTTGTCTCTAGATGTTGTGCAACTAAGTTGTACAGTGAGACATTACGCTGATAAGAAAACTTAACTTTGACCCACATGTCTGGCGTGTCTTCTACTTTATCTGCGTCACCAGATAAGAGCTTCATTCGGCCTCTAATGAGTTGTAAAACAGCTGATTACTTAACAATCCAGAGAGAAAGAATCGTCAGTGTGGGATAGAGCTGATAGATTCCATGCTGCATGCTCTGCTGGACCAGTTACATGATGGCAGCTTTTCTTCATTTGCACCAGCGCATCTGTGCATTGGTCAGGCTCTAGTATATAAACCATAAATTCTGTTCTCAACGCCTCACTAGGTGGCCGTTCCAGACGTCACAGACGCCATGAAGGGAGCCAAGATCCTCATCTTTGTGATCCCGCACCAGTTCATCAGCAAGCTCTGCGATCAGATGAAACCTCACATCACAGAGGGAACCATCGGGATATCGCTCATCAAAGTAAGGTCCCGTGATGAACCCTCAGGTTCTGTGACAGTAAAAAGAGGAACCTGTCAGCTGGCTTCATATTTTTCGTGTAATCATGAGATGTTTTTGTTGGGCAACACAGTCTGTCTAGACTATGAATTTAAATTTAGCACAAAGACTGATTGACTATCGTCGCCCAGGGAATCGATGAGGGACCAGAAGGACTGACGCTCATCTCAGACATCATCCGAGAGAAGCTGGAGATCGAGGTCAGCGTCCTGATGGGGGCGAACATCGCCAGCGAGGTGGCGGATGAGAAGTTCTGCGAAACCACCATCGGTCAGACGTGTTTTTATATTTAAATGCACATGCACTGTTGTTGCAAAGGAGGAGAGCTGAGTGATGCTCTGTGTGTAATTTGTAATAAACTGCATTTAATACAGGAGCAAAAAATGAAGCAAACGGCCTCATCTTCAAAGAGCTGCTGCAGACCCCCAACTTCCGCATCAATGTCGTGCAGGAGAGCGACACAGTAGAGCTGTGTGGAGCCTTAAAGGTGAACAACAGCTCATAGATTTGAGTATTTACTCTGCATTGATACAGACGTTCTAAGTACTGTTTTGTCGTCAGAATATCGTGGCGGTAGGCGCCGGGTTCTGCGACGGACTCGGCTGTGGCGACAACACCAAGGCGGCGGTGATCAGGCTGGGTCTGATGGAAATGATCGCCTTCGCTCGGTTGTTCTGCAAAGGCCAGGTGAACTCCACCACCTTCCTGGAGAGCTGCGGCGTGGCCGACCTCATCACCACCTGCTACGGAGGACGGAACCGCAAAGTGGCGGAGGCCTTCGTCAGAACGTCCAAGGTGAGAAGAAATAAGTGAATGGTACATGATGGACTGTTAAACACTCTGGTGCATATAGAGGAGCTATGCTGTCCACACATATAACTTTCATGTAACATATTTGACTAAAAAAAGACATTTTGAATAACGTTGGTGTCTTAAGTGCACCTGTTACACAACAGCATATGAGGAAACAGAAGCTGTATAGAGCATGTTGCGTAGCTTATGATTCTCTTTCTTCAGTCCATCGTTGAGCTGGAGGCAGAAATGCTCAACGGCCAGAAGCTTCAGGGTCCGCAGACCTCAGCAGAAGTCTACAAGATCCTCCAAAAGAAGGACATGGTCAACAAGTGAGTCCACAGTTTGAACACAGTTGCTTTCGACTTTCGACTCGAATTTTCCAACATGACGTACATCTTTTTTTCATTTAAACATCTGTCACAGTCAGATTTAACATGAGGTTGATGGTTTAAAACAAGAACCATGAAAGTTCTGATACCCACCAGAGGAGGCATTATTACGAAAACAGCGTCAGCAATTGCAAAATGTATAATTTCATGAAGAAGTTAATGAGTAACACAAAATAGTGATTTCAAATTTGGTTATTTTTTTACTATACAATCACTTTTAAAGCTCCAACACACAACCAACAATATAATCATCACATTTGAACAGTTTAGATAATAAAGGAAAACAACAATCAAACGGTAATGGAGCCCTGTGTTATTTTAATATTGCCTCAGGCTGTTTTGAAAGCAGACAAACAGATAGAATCGATCTATGCCCGGCATTTCAAGAGACAGATACGTCCAGTTCAGAGCAGATCCACCTCCATTCTGTCTTAATCAATACCCAACTCCAGCCCTTCGTTTTCTCCGCTGGCTCGCCTCGCTGGCATTTTCCCTACTGGACTTCCCACATGCTTGAGATTTCACTCCGTTTGGTTTTAACCTACTTCTGTAAAACCACTCACCGTACCGGTTCTTCAACATTCAGCCTCTGCCCGGCTCGACACCCCCTTGAATATGTTACCTCAGCCTCGCCTCTCTTCTCTATTTATCTGGTCTTTCTATCGAAGCTCGCTCCAGCATGCTGCTCCAAAGACGTCAAAACAATAAGTGGTGTTGAGCAAGCAGGTGTGGCAGGAGTGCTAAGGGCAGAACTATGCAGTGGTTTTCTATGGTGGGTAAAAATAATCCTCAGTGATTCCAGGTGAAAGTTGTTGTGTTTTTAATCCACATTACCCATAATTCACTAGAAGATTAACAGATTGGACAAAAAGTCAGGAACTGGGAAGTATTTTTATTATTTTGAGGGTTATATGGTCTTGAAACCAGCAAGGGGGTAAAATTGACCCCTTGGCAGCTCGAGTAGACCTGCAGTGGGACGGCCTTTAAGAGAAATCTGATGTTAGCTGCAGGTGACACGGTGGGTGAAATCTGTGGCAGCAGGTAGCGACAAGTATGCAGCACTCAGACAGTCGTTATCCATCCCTCATTGTGGAAACAGAAACCTGTATTAGAGAAAATCTGCTGTAAAGATGCAGTGAAGAGCAATGGAAACAGATTTGCCTGCGAGCAGGGACAAGCTGCTTCAAACTGGGTAATGTTTTTAACCTGGAGGTTTCTATGCCAGAGTCCTGCTGCAGGTTTGAACATTTCCAAGGTTTAACTGTCAGACTTAAATAGCAAGAGAAGTTTGCTCTAAATTGTTTTGAAAAAATGAGCATAAATAGGCAAAACAATAAATGAATCTGATCATTTTCTTGTAGACTGCTCACCAGTTCTTTTTCACATTATAGCCTGTAGACCAGAGATCTCCAGCTCTGGTCCTCGTGAGCTACTGTCCTGCAGGTTTTAGGCGTTTCTGTACTGCAACACACCTCACTCAAATTAATGGATCATTAACAGACTTGTGCAGAACTTGACAACGAGCTGTTGGAGATCCATTAATATGAGTCAGATGTGTTGCAGTACGGAAACGCCTTAAACCTGCAGAACAGTGGTTCACAAAGACCAGAGTTGGAGATCCTTGCTGTAGACCAGGGGTGTCCAATCCTGGTCCTGGAGGGCCACAATCCTGCAAGTTTTAGATGTTTCCTTCTTCCAACACACCTGATTCAAATGATCAGGATGGTTATCAGGCTTCTGCAGAGCTTGATGATGAGCTGATCATTTGAATCAGGTGTGTTGGAAGAAGGAAACATCTAAAACATGCAGGATTGCGGCCCTCGAGGACCGGATGTCGACACCACTGGTCTAAATAAATGAGGAAAAGGAAAAGATGGAGGAGGAGGAAGGAGCAAGATCCAACTAGAGGTCCACGATTGACTGTTGATTGAAGTAAATTAGAGTACAGTTCCTTTTGATTAAGGTAGGCTGCATGGATCGGTCCATTTTGTGCAGAAGAAGAGTCAAATGATGCCTCAAATGGCTTTTTTTTCTCACTGAATCTGTTGAACAAAACCTGGTTAAGACAGGTATTTGTCATGATACCCAGTCTATTAATGCTTTGAAACCCAAAACCTGCCGAAGGGTCTGGAACTCATATTATGTTTTTAAAAAATTGCCAAATTTACATCATTATTTCGAGCCAGAAACTGTAAAAGCAGAAAGAATTGTGTGTTTTCCAGCCCGACCAAATCTTGAGCTTGAAATTGTGATATTCTGGTAAAACCACTGTGCTGCGTATCTCATGTCTGGTTTGAAAATTTGCCAAAAAAAAGCCCATCTCAAGTTGCCAGATGCCGTAACAACTGAGAAGCCATGACTCAGCTGTCGACGACAGTTACATGACAGAAATTCAGGGACTTTTTGACTGAACAGGGTTGAAATGCAGGCTGTGTTTAGAGCAGGCAGGAGACAAGTATGGAAACACATTAGAAATGTAAGTCTTAAATATCTATACAGTATAGAGTTACCATTTCTTTCCAGTAGTTTTTTTTATTTTATTGTTAATGGTATTATAGCTGTGATGCTGCCCAAAAGACTGAGTTCTTTCTCTTTGTAGTCATGTTTGGGCTGTTTAGATATGGGTGCAGGACTTTGTATTGCAGCCAAAAATGAACCCACAGTGAGTAAAAATGTGACAACAGAGGTAAAAAAAACATGGATTGGGGTTTAGAAGGTGAAGTCAAATCAAATGCCAGAATGAATTCAACTTTGAACATTCAGGAGAAAAACTACGGAAACTTTCGGCACGATCAGAAGCCTCCATTCTAAATTAAATCAAACAGAATTGTTGGCATTACTGATGTTTTTATTGATTGGGATGGAATGGAAACTACAATGTACACAGCTACAGTTTACACACACGTTGCCTGATGGAGCATTTATTACTGCAGAGGAGACAGACTGATTTTTAGTACAGCCTGTCTTGGATAATAAACTATATTAAAGCTATAATCTCTTTACAATGGAACAACTTGTTTGTTCCTGTGTGGCGCATGGTGACATGTAATTCCCAGCGCTGGTCTGCCCACCTGCAGCCCGCACAGAGCTCTAATTAGAGGTGAAAACTCCCGCGGTCAAAACTCAATTTGTGCCACCGCGGAGTCTCTCAACAAGTTGACCTTTCTGTCCTTGATCCGTGGACAGTTAATTTCCAGCGTCCTCAAATAAACACCGAGTCTGTTTGCTTCTCTTTCCAGGTTTCCTTTGTTCGCGGCGGTCTACCAGATCTGCTTCGAGGGCAAGGAAGTGAAAGAGTTCATCACCTGCCTACAGAACCACCCGGAGCACATGTGAACGCCTGCTGCTCCTCCACTACCCGGTTACTACCACTAGAGGGTAAAAGAGATTCACCAGAGAGAAACGCACAATACAGCTAAACCAACACAACCCAGGACACTTTTACTTAGGATTATTTTGTACTCGTGACATTTCGTAACAGAAGCTGCACTCTTATTGTCTAAGCGTTTGACAGCGTTTTTACTAATCTTTTGCTCGTGTTTTGTTAAATGTTCTGTACTATCCAGCGGTCTTGGGAACATTCTAAATATTAAATGACACTCGATAAGCTGTAAATCAGATCAGTTTCAGGGGTTTAAGATATCTTCTAATACTGACCACTCCACTTGTATTCTTGCCAAAAGTGTCCTCATTTTTGTCTACTCACATTTCACTATATGATGTGTGTTTGTAATCTCGAAATTGCAACTAAAAATCTTCTCTTTTTGTTTTATCTTTGTGTGGAGTTGTTGTTTTTTTCAATAAATCAATATATTAGACATTAAAAGCTTTTATTTGTTCCATGTTTGACAAACAAAATCAATCCAGAAAGTTGTGACATATCGGCGTTTCGTTAGTATGAACTTTAATATTTCGCCACAAGGGGGCGCACCGATCCCGTTTTCGGTCATGATTGATGTAGGATGAAGACGACACATTGCCACAAACAGTTACGAGATGCTGCCGGTTCTGTTCTCCAACCTGTCTTCCACCCGTCAGTTCACTGAAATGGGAAGCGACTCCGAGAAGCCGTGTGATTGAGTTGTGCGTCGGATCCCACAGTCGGCCTGTGGCGGCCGAGACCGATTCCCACGAGGGCCGCGGTAACTCGGTATGAGAAAGCGGATTAAAGAACAAACGGCGTCCTTGTCCCTCCATCTCAAACCATGTTACAAGTCAGACTGATGGAACCTTTGATACTCCACCAAGTGTCTGTCTCCATCTGTCTCCCATCACCGTTTCGCTGTCCGCCTCTTTATGTCTGAACCCGTCCTTCTCACATTTTTTTTTTCTGTACTTGCAGCCTTAAAATATACAAAGTAAAAGTGCGTATGTAAATGCAAACAAATACAAAAGTTTGCATGTAAAAGATGGATGTCGCAGTCTGAAAAGTGAAGCCAATGCAGAAATGAGTTTACCTGCATTCTTTCTAACAGCCAGCAGGGGGCGACTCCTCTGGTTGCAAACAGAAGTCAGATTGTATAGAAGTCGATGACAAAATGATCCTCGATTTATTCCCTCAGTAAGCATTTCCCTAATGACTTAAAGATTTCAGTTGATGGTTTTAGGTCTCCTTCAATACAGCATGATGGTAATTTTGTAAATTTCAGTCCCGCGTGAAGCCAAATCGTCCCGTGTGCAGGCATTTGGTCATCAAGGAAATGAACGCAAAGATAATGAAACTCCTAAAAATTCATCGTTGTCGATCAAAATGATATGTTAGACTTTAAAAACAACCCCCAATACCTTCAAATGCTTCACTGTAAGTATATACCATTGCTTCTCTTAGACTGTGTGGATCTAAAAGCTCCCTGAATCGTCTTTTTTTTTTTTTGTGAGACTTTCATTGATTAACTTCAAGGTGGAAATGCTCAGCCATGATAGTAACGGTCTAGTTGGCTCATGATGTGTCTTCCAACATATAAAAAAAATGAATTTGGCAGGTACAGAAATGATCTTTACAAAAGGAGTCTAATAAAGATCGGTCGATGCATCACCAAAGTCTATCAGGTTATCATTTTGTAAGAATAAACTACACACAGTTGCTGCCCCAGTTTAACAATGTCCCTCTTTTGCACCTCTCTTTGTAGGGTTTGCTTGGTCCTAAATGAGCTTAGAGCCTGCTTTTAAACCAACATGCAATACCTGCCCCCTCTTCAACTGTATCACCATCAAAAGGGTTCATCGGAAAGCTCAGGCAGGGTTCTAGAGGAGAGCTTCCCATGGGAGAGCTGGTTCTCGCAGGTGGATGTCCCGTGCAGTGAGATAAGACAGATCGTCTCATCCCCCGAACAGCAACTGTCATCGGTGTTTTTTCTTTAGGGAGCCCTGAAACCCTTGTGGTGATTTGACACAAGCCCAGATTCTCTGTTTCAAAGCAAAGGCCCACCTTCGGATGAGAGCTTGAAAGAGGAGCTTAATCACCACGGTAACTTGTCTGTTCCACACACACATACACACACTGTCCTGAAAGTAAGAGGCCCATTGGACAGCGGAGGATAACCGCATAACAACATGGATTGAGGTCAGTGTTGTTTGTGATTTACATGTACTTTTCTGCCTCGTAGCCTCGTATATGAGTTGTCTTTTAAGCTGCGCCGAAAAATGTTAATCACGAAGTGGGCCACGGTAGAGAAAGACCATCTGATCGTCGCTAAACCCTGCGTGTTTGGAGTCACCTCGGTGCCCGGCGACCGAACAAAGGTCCATCCGTCAAGACGACTTGAGGTCAGCCTCTGTCCAAAGTGAAGAAATGTAACTGTCAGCGCCTCCGAAGCCGGCTGATTAACGCGCTGTGTGTCTTTAGTTTATCTTGATGTGGAAGGTGAAATGTAAAAACGGCAATTTGTGGTTTTAGTGGGAGTCGCGTGCTCGAGTTAAATTACAAAGGGTGGACTTTCAACAGCCATAAAGGAGTAAGAGGAAAGAGTTTAGAGCAACACAAAACAAAATCCCCTTCACCTCCTTTGTAAGGATGGAGTAATCAGAGATTTATTTAGCAAGAATGCAAAAAAAAAAGCTTGGATGTGACAAAGTTAGCAACTAGAGAGTACACATTTGGCAGCAAGGAGGTGGTGGAGACCAAAACAGAGCTAAAAAATGAGAGAATATCAGACTTAAATCCATCAAGAGGATAGAATCATGAAATTAATTTCCTCTATATAGTCCAAATAGTGTTGAACTAACCCTTCGCATACCCACCATTAAGGCAAAACTCATCTGTGGGAAAAATAAAGTAGCTCCACTACGCTAATGTCGATTTAATCTCTGTTACAGATTCGCGTTTTCTGCTTGATATCTATTCAAAAACATATTAAGACACTCTTCAGCACATTCCGCGCCGAGCACAGATCTGATTTATGAGGTGTAGCGAGAATGGGGCTGTTACTCACAGTTGGCTTATCGCACCTGTGTCTCGGTTGCAGATGAAAACTTCTCCCCTGAGCACTCCGGGGCTTTAATTATTTTTTTTTAAATATCTGGGCCACCCCAGGCCAGACCACATGATTCACGCCTTTAGATTTATGGCACCCAGAGAAGCTTTGCGTCAGCGCGAAACCTCACACGTAGGCTAATAGATAACTCACAATATCACCTCGAGGCAAACAAACCTTGGCGCTTGTATTGTGTGTATACTGTTTTTTGCTCATATTTTATATGTAAATCCACCCTTGAGAGAGTGAGAGCCTATCCTACATCCTAAACTAATTACAGGCCGCCGATCTCGTCAGCTGTCACCGCCACACTCTTTTTACATGTCAATGACAGCCAAATGGGACCTCATATCCTTCCTCCAGTTCGTACAATGCTCTCATTGAAAACATAAGTGGTGGAAAGAAAACCCAGAACAGAGAACGGCGAAGGATGCCACTCCTCGTCCCAGCTGGCGCGAGCTCAATGGCAAAGGGCAGCGAGTCTCGTCCGTGAAATAACAAACCACTCCCACTCCTCTCCTCAAATCCTCCTCCTCATCCTTCACCTCTGCCCGGCCCGTCTTCATCATCGCCTCGGCCTAATCTGGACACGTTCGCGGGGACACGCACTCTCTTTTGTGTCCGCCGGCGCTCTGAAGAGGGGGAGAAAAGAGGGTGTGCGAGTCGGGGAGAAAAGAAAAGGAGGGTTGGAGGGGGGAAGGCAGCGGTGCCGGTGGTTGCTTCGATTTGTCTTTTGCTTGTGCGGTCTTTGGGGGGGGAGAGAGAAGTTGGCAGGAAGCCTGGCTGTGGCACTGCATACAAACACTGGGGGAAAACACAAGGGCTGTTTGTGTAGGTTTGTTTGACTCTCCCATCCTCTTACCTCAGGCGGGGTGGAAAAAATTGCGCGAGACAGCCATAAGATACGCTCCCTCTCAGCCATCGATCCCTCAAGAGGAGGACGAGACGAATAAATGCACGTCGGGAAATGACCGACCGTAATTCAATGAGATTAATTCAATTGTTGCAGTAAAGACTTGGCAGGAGCCCCGGCCTTGTTTGCTGCTTCAAAAAGGCCCTTTGATTAAATATGAGATGCCATCAGGCTTTACGTGAATCCACAGAAAGCAGCAGGAGAGAAACCGCAATCTATCACTACAGTCTGACCAGACAAAGAGCTGACACAGTCAAAGCTGTATAACGTCTCCTTGGGTTTTCTTCCCTTATTCTGCTTCAATCCCCCGTTCATCTAAATCTCCTTAGCTTGATCTCCTGTGGACTTAGAGTAGCTGACATCAGCGCTCGCGTAACAGCTCCGTCTGATTTGTGGAAGTTGAAATCTTTACCGTATGTGCTGCGCTCGTCTCTCTCGGGCCCACGCTTACATGCATGTGAAGATGCTGTTGATGTGAAAGCGGGACATTACCGGGCTCCCAGTGCAGCCGCAAATAACGCTGAAGTTTCATACCGACATGTCAGTGCCGACTTTGTCCACGCACAAAGCCACTTCCTGCTTCTCACGGGGGAGTCGAACCGGCTGCCTCCACCTAACCCCACCGGATTCAATATGTTTTGCAGCGTTTTGTAAATTGAGCCAATTTGCTTCTCGCATGGTGTTGTATCTTTTAAAGACGTCAAAAGCAAAGATCAGCTTTGTTTTCCGTCTCCTGCCTCGCGGCGTTGGACCTCTGGGATCGTCTGGTGTTTCAATTACGGATGTAGCCTCACATTCGCACTGATAGGGGGACAGTCGGCGCAGGTACACCCCCGAAAGGAGCTGTAAGCGTTGCAGCACGCCGCTGAGCTGACTGCTTTATGATCGCTCTGGTCTCAACCGCAATTGCTGCTAGTGATCCGAAGGGAAGCATTGTGGTTGAATGAGAAAGCGGCCGAACGTGTCTGGGAAAAGACAGGCAGATAATGAAATAGGTGTTTATTTCACGAAGTCTGTCTCACCGACATAATCGCATCTGTTGTTTTAGTGGCCGTCTGACCTTTTGAGCAGTCTGTTTTGCTGTATAAATAAAACTTTACAGCATCACAGAAGACATCCCAGCTCAGGGTGTGTTAACAGGGTGTGAGTCCACTCAATAAATCCAGGAGTGAAGATTTAGTGGCTCGTGGATGCTTTTTTTTTAGCGTGTAGCCTTGTCTTTTTATAGCCTGAGGTAGCTCGCTTAGCTCAGCACTCAAGTCATATTTACATGTTATTAAGTAGTGTTTTATAGTGTTAATCCATCATATAATGTGAATATAATGTGCTGTATTTACCTTAAGGTTTAAAGGGATCAAAGCAATCCACACATAGAGGACATATTTGCATCTTCAGTTGTTCTAAATCAAGAATTTACCCAGGGACCATTTCTTTCTACGC